AAAATTCAAATTTATTTTGTTAATTTGTACTATTAATACAACTTTGAAAATTACAGATAAATAGATTTTTGAAATTTTCGATAACGTCTGTGATTATGCATTTTATCGCTTTCTACTATAAAATGTATTATCGTGCTCGTGTACTATAGTAGTGACCGCTCCGCTTTTTCGTTTTACTTAGTTTCGCCCCACTACCGTATAGTACCGTCGCGCTGGATTAAAGGTATATWCAGATTTACAGTATATACTTACCTATATATGTTACCTATACTATTTTGATATATTAAATATTTGTATGTACATATTTTATATACTTTTTAAACAAAGGTGTATACATTTTACATTTTAGTGCACAAACGTGTTATAGCCGTTTAAATGTATATAGGTTATTGATCTATGTAAGTAATACTATGTTTAATGGGTGAACAATGAACATGCATCGCTTAGTTATAGTTAGAAAAATACTACAATACTAGCTATTATACATGTGTTAATATAGTATTACCATTTTAATCAATTTAAGAGTATTTCGATATTATWTTAAACGACCTTTAAACATAGTATTCAATACATATAATTTTGAATTTTGATCATCATCCTCACAAAATCAGTTAAAAATTATGATTTAACTARAAGTTATTAAATTTTGTGTTTTATTTTAACAGAGCTTAATTGTATTTCTGTTTTATCTAGTGGTAAGCTTTTTTGGATCAGGTCTGTCTGCTGCTTGCTTATATTTCATTACGTCTTCTCTTGAGAATCTCGTGTTATCTTCAATATTTGAAGCTCTTTCCAGCGTGGGTATAAGTCTTATGTATTGTATCGCTGTCGAGTTATTTCCTACAGAATACAGGTAAATTTTGAAGTTTGGTTGACAAAATGATTATTTATTTGTACTTTTTTATAGGGGAATGGCCGTATCTATAGGTTCTACGTTTGGAAAAATTGGCGCACTTATGGGTAATATCATTGTTGGAGTATTTATCGATGCTCTTTGTGTAATTCCAATTTTGGTATCGTGTTCATTTTTGATAAGTAAGTACTAACAAAATTGTTGAATTTATAATGTGTATAATAAGTAATAACATATGCTAACATTGCTAACGTGTATATATTAGTCTATAAAAGATTTGCCCCTACTTATTATTATAAGTATTCTAACAAGTCCATTCTCTTATTTTAACGTTCGATTGGTTTATTTTTTATTTTAATAGTACATATATTATATATAAACTAGTATAGTGTCTAAGGGGGGGATGTTCACCTCCACCCCGAAATTTTTTTTTAGGCACGCCACTGTATACATTAAAAACGCAGAGAAAGAAAATAATTAATGACACAGATAATAAGATATGTACTTAATTATCTTTCTTCAGATATTCGGAGAACTCTTGAGGTAGTATATAATCGAGAACTGAGCAATAACATAATAAAATTATGTACAAATATATGTAATCTTACTAACCAATGTATCTTTATTATCTATCCGCGCGTACTCCAAATCAAAAAGTATGAGAAACGATGCATTTAAAAAAGAGTCCTAATTTTTAAGGATTAGGCACTCAAAAAAGAAAAATAACATACACTAGGAAATAAATGTAAGGTTAAKTGCTTCGACATGTCGGTTGAATGCTATTTCTAACCGATGATAAAGGGTGAGTTTTCAAATGAAAAATGGTAAAAGAGAAATTTTATATAAGTTTCATTAGATAAATCACTATCGGTCATAAAAATACTGTAAAGATTTGAAAGAAAAATATTCAGATAAATACATAGACCGATCACCGATAAATTAATATGTTTAATGCAACACAAAAACAAAATAAGATCAAATATTCAAATGCACAACTGGAAGAACTGTACAAAWGAGAAGGCCATTATAGTCATTAGCTTTTGTCGGATAAACATTGTACAGTTCATCAGATGAATGAGATTTAAACGAGCAGGGGCACTTTTAGATGAATGTATAATCAAACAATTATTATAAAAACTGGAATGGCWAAAGACTAAGAGGAAATTAGAGAAAAAGATAAGTTGATAATATCGCAGATATCTGCCGAAGGTGGTAATCATGCAGGTGCCAGAAAAACGGAATAGATTGTAACTTAACATAAAAAATAAATAGTTTTTGAATACAATAAGWACGTTGATCGATCATAAAGAAAAAATAATCAAGAAAGTTCATATTATAGTGTCGTGAATATTAGGCGTTAGGATAATTTAACGCTTTCATAATATTTAATTTTGAAATAGGCTTGTATTATTGACATTTATATTATAACAATAACTGTTTAGTTTCAGGATTATTGGTGCTAACATTACCAACAACAGGGAAAACAAACATACGATGAAGTTATAATATCTGACGATATTATTTTATATTTATATCATAGAAAAATAGTGTATTACACCGTTTCACAATTTTTTAAGGAAACAAATTTGTATGAAAACTGATAATTTTTAGAAGTAGAGAGGTTATTGTATTACTATATGTTATGTACCTATTATTAATTATGTTATAACTTTGTTTTCCGAGTACTAAAATAATTATTTTATCTACATTTGTATTGACATTTAAGACACACATTTAAAATAAAATAAATAATAAAATAATTTTATTTTGAATTTTCCCGATGTTTTGGATTTTTTTATTTTATTAACCATAATAATTATGGTTTTTACTAATATAAAATATTGAATGCGTAATTAAATAAATACAATTTTTCGTTCTGAAGATTGGATTTTCATCACGATTAATTAGGTTATCAGGCTAATGGGCTAATCTATATCTATTTTATTCCGTTATCTTTTAAAAAAATCATTATTAGGTACCTATTCAATAGAATTTCGTTAGCGTAAAGTTACTCAATTTGTTCAATTGTTTTAAAATTATGTTCGATTAATATTGTGATGTAATAGTTAAACACTCGGATATGAAAACATCTGATTATAAYGGACTKATGCAAATTTAGTATTCATTTATTCTTGTTATAGTAAATACACATTTAATGTCTTATTAAAATGAACGGAGCTTTGGTTTTTGGCCAAACGCGTAGATATCACTCTAAAAATCTGTAACACATATCCTTCGTTTTTTCGACCCAAGTGAATGTTGATATTTATACTTGGTCCTATTCAGTTATGGAGAAGACGGTTAAATAATTCCTACAACAAAATCCTATCTGGAAACTGGCTTGTTAGATTAGAATAAGTAATTTAAGTTTTTCGTATGAAATAAATAAAATATAAAAGTCATCACTTCTACTTATAGTACAACATGGCCACACATCATTGCTAAATCCATTATAGTGATCKGAGTGCTCAGATTCTAAAATACGTAAAAATCATATTAACAACCTAATGATAATCATAAAAGATGAAAAAAAAATGTTTTAATCCTTTTTTTAGATCAGGTTAGTTGGTTAGTAGGTAATAAATACTACAATGTTTATTTTAAGTTTAACTATACTATTATAATAACTRTATGCTACATATTCATACCGTCGTGTTAAGGTGAATTTTGATAAAATTGACGTATTGGACATTGATACCTATATTAGCTATTGATGTTATTGTTATATATGTTATTACAATAACAATATTGGTTACTAGATTGTTCTGTGCTATTTTTACGAATGAGTAATCTTAAACTCTTAAAGAGCTATCTTTTGAATTTTGTCTTGTTCTTCGAACTATAAATTTAATAATGTTTTCTGACATACTATAATTTTTTATTTTTATTCTTTAAAAAAGATAATGGGCCACACTGAACAGATTCGTGTGTAACATACTAAATTAATTTTTTATTTCGTGTTTGTATGCAACATATCAAATTAACTTTAATTAGACATTATCTATAAATATGAATTTACATGAACGAATGATGTATTTCCTCTTCTCAGTACTTACCTGCCCATATATTATATTATGATTGTTTACTCSTTCAATGACGAAAGAGGACAAGTAACCGCAATCATTAAACACTAATTTAACAGTCGATATCGTATAGTGATTGATGATTATACATAATATTCATTCCTATATGGCTATATAGAATAGTTATAATAACGRAAATATAATTTTTACAAAAATAGAAGAGACTTCGGCGTGAGCGTTCACTTTAATAGGTAGTGTGTCAGTACAGATTTACCGCTTAAATATAAAGCTTCAAAACACATGTATATCAACAAGCGTACGTTCTAAAATATCAAAAAAGCACAATATTAAAGTAGTGAGAGTGAGTGTATGTGTGCGAGAGAGAGAGAGAGAGAAGAGAGAGACACACACGCAGAGTGAGTATACAGAGTGAGTGACAGAGAGAGTGGCGTATCGTGTTATAATAATAATGTTATTATCTGTTGATATAAGAATAAGAGAGCCAAATGCATCATCTCATTTGTGATGGTATATATATATATAGGACGTGAAGAACCATTTCGCTGTCGTCCCCACCCTCCGTCGCAGCGAATATTACGATAGCGGTGCTTCTTTTACATATATTATACACTTACATTATTATATTAGGCACACGCGTCGCAAAATAAAACGATGTTAACATTTATCATTGCGAAATTGACGGTGGAATAAGCACACGCTTTAAACGGGACGTTACGACTGCAACGATGTATATATTTATTTATATTAATATAATATTGCTATTAAGTATTCGCTCTGTATATAATATAATATATATATATATATATATATTGTATATACGCTTGCACGTGATAGGTAGGGTGTTGGATGTACCCACATTCACGAGATTTTAAATTTTATCTACGGACGCGAATACATATTATTCGCGCGATGCGCCAAGTCCACGCAAATCCGCTGTAGCCGTACACGACGACGACGATTCGTATGAAATAATAATAATAAATCGCGTACGTTAAGACAATCCGTCTTCATCATCATTACAATCACTGTACCTACGGTTTGGTGTTATCGAACGACCGCCGTCGTGTTTTTATATAATATTATTATACAGTGAATAACAATAACTACGATGTACAAATATTGTTTCTGATATTTACTATACAATTTAATATTTTATACATTATCATTTATCATATTAATTTATTCACCTGTTATAATACTGCAACTGTTGTAGTTAAATCAATGAAATATTAGAACGGTGGTCGTGATGATAAACAAGTTTTATAACGTATTTATAACATTTTCATTTTTTGTAGTTTAACTACGTTGTAGTAATATTAAACTTTTGAAGTAAACCGCGATCGTCGTTAACGCGGTATAATATTATTAAAATAATATTATATTGTTATTTCACACGTACTCACTATATACGCTCAGTCGCTGAGGGATGTTGTTATTATACGCACTTATAAACGTGTAAATGGACAAGAGGTAAGCACTGAAAGTATATTATGTAAATCGTTATCATTCGTCGTTTTAATTTTTTTATTTATTCAAAACATAATTGCTGCAATAATAAGACGCCGATGCTCAACCACATATTATTATTATTTCTCATATTTTCATAATATACCTACATTTTTTTATTTATTTTTTTTGAAATGCATGTAACCTTCACATTGGAAAACCTCACGGACAATGTCCAACAATGGATCAGTGACCCACTAATCCACTATAAGGGATTTATTCGCACAGACTTTTTGTCTGAACTTACGCCGCGAGTTATGCACTACCTCAATATTTTTATTATACGAGAATATAATATTATGTTTTTCACATTTAAGTGTAAAGTCAAACAAAATGCATACCGTCTTTGCTTTAAAATTGGTTCATTTTGGTATTGTCGCTTTTTAAAATAAATGTAAGTTTTTACTTAATATTAATCAGTGTTATATTGTTATATTCTTGAGAAATTTCACTCGTATATTTTAATACTTTTTAAATTAATCGTTTTTTGTAATTACATCAATTTGATTGTTCACTTTGACATATCCGATTTGCTCGTATTTTTTATTACAATATTACAAATAATTTTGAATTTAATATATAATAAGAATATTTTGAAGAATAAAGAAAAATGTGGGAGTAAAGTTACCTAAATAAATTTGGGTAAAGTTTATAAAGAAATCTTGCTCCATATTTTTCTTCAGAAGTATGGAATATAATATAAAATATCAACAATACCCTAGTTAATATAGTTTGTAAAATAGTTAGTTGAAATATATTTTGGAAATTCATAATTTAATCTATGATTATTGATTTGGGTAATGTAACTATTGTAACTACCTACCTAGGTATAATTGTATAAAGCAATTCTATAATATACGCCTTTACGCTCTATTTGAGTTTGAAATTATACTAATCATAGAAATGTGAACAATTAATTCAAAAGTATTTACATATTTGTTAACTATAAACTTAAATTATATTTGTAGTATAAATAATAAATTATTTTAACCTTGTACATTTTCAGTATATGATTTAAACATCGAAACTAAACTTATTTTTATTATGAAGACCTCAATCAATTTAGAGCTCGTTTAAGTACATCAACGAGAGGGCCTTTTATACATTATCAAGAAGTATATAATATATAAATGTATTTATTCTAATTCAAGCATTGTATTTGACGTATAAAAGGTACACCCATCATTTTATCTGATTTTTTTTAGGTTCTATTTATAGTATATACTTTATGAATAAATTGTGGTATGAGTGTATTAATATATTTATATTTTAAAAACTTGAGAGGAAGATTTTTGGTTTACTATTATTAGTAAAAATGTAATTGCTTGGGTTTCGTACTTAATTATTTTTTCAAACACATTTTGTGAAAACACATTTTTGGGTTGAAAGTTCTCTAGAAGTTTCATAGCTAGCATTACTTTATTACTACTATTGATTTGAAATGAATCAAAGATTGTATGATTTCGGTTTTTCATATTTAAAAATACTAGGAAATAATAAATTAAAAAATAAATAAAACACTTTTTCTAAGAAGAAGTTTTTAGTTAAAATATTTTAAAATATCTATTTTAATAAACCATAAAATACATATAATGGCGAATACTTGTTAGGCCTATATGTGATAGAAGAAATTATAATGTTATGTATGATTTATACGGTATGGATTTATTTTAAGGTACCTACAGTGTTAATGTGTAAAATCTTATTGGAAAAGTATTGGGAAGGAACACCAGGGCCGGTGTTGAGGGGAGGTAAAACGGGGCATTTGTTCAGGGCCTTGCACTTAAAATTTACATTGAAAAATATTTTATATGAAAATCGTATAGGCTAAGGCTATAGGTGACTTATCAGCAGCGTACGCAGGATTTTAGTTCGGTTAGGGTTTTACATGAGTAAATAATTTAAATAATAATAAGCAATTTAAATAATTTGCTTAACAGTTTTTGTATAATTTAGTTATAACAAATTATAATTAATAATTAATTAACAATTTAATTTATATCTATTAAAAATTACCAACAATTGATCGACTCTGTGTATTGAAATGGTGGTAAATAAGATTTTTTTGTAAAATTAAAAAATTTCAGTGGGGGTTAGAAACCTAGAACCCTCCCACTGGGTACATCACTGGTGACTATGGTTATTGGTTAAATAAGTTTTCCCAGGGTCTAGCAAACAGTAGCGCCGGCCCTGAGGAACACAGTTATCATTCGAAGAGTAATGGATTGTATAAGACTGGGATTTTTCGAATGTTTGATATTTTATATCATCACTCCATATTTTGTAGAATATAATATTAATATTACTACCATAATTTGTTTTAGGTTAGGACAAAAATAGTGTGAACTTCGTGCAAAAATTCTTAGTTTTAATGTTATGTGGTAATAAAGAAGTGTTTCTAATTCTAAAATTAAGCAGGTAATTCTAATATAAAACACCTATGTAAAATATATTAGTCGTATAATTATTGTAGTCTTTGATACCATAAACTAGATAATAATGAAATAATATTTATATTGTTTCTGAAAACTGAATATGGTGAAACAACGGTTTTTAATTGATAATTCAAAACTTTTAAAAATTTAAATTTACTCTATAATGAAACCTATTCAACATACAAAACGAAAAAAAAAGTATTAGTAAATTGTTGTAAATACCTGGTGGTTATGGTTGGTACCTTTTCGTATAACAATAAATGCACAAAGTAAATATGATAATGGACAATTTAAAATTTAAATGAACCTTAACTTTAAAAAAATTATTTTGGTGATTCAAAGCAGTGATTCATAGTGTTTTTGTTTAAAGTATTCATAAATAAAATGCTAGTTTAGTGATTCAAATAGCAAACGTTACCACATTTTCTTAACATAGAAATTATTTAATAATGAAATTCATTGATTGAAACCAAAATCCGTCATCTGATTTAATAATATTACTTAAGAAAACATGTACTAATTTAATAGTAATTAACTATTGAACTAATATATATATATATATATATATATATGAAAATTCTATCAATTAATTCCAATGAAAAAAAAAAATGTAACGCTGGCTAATAACTACGTAGTTGACGCCTTAAAATAATTAATAAAAAAACATATTGGTTTGACATTTCAGTGGTGTGTATGTTTTTGCAAGTTATGGTTTTCACTTTTTTCAGGTATAAAAAATTAAAAAGTGTAGTTTGCATACTGCATTTTTATCTTTAGGCATACATTAAAAAATAAGGTGTTCGTTTGAAGTGTATACATTTTAATTTTTCAGAAGTTTTTGATAAAATAAAATCAGAATGGTTTTTTGAATGTAATGGTTTATTATTGCTTTCAAATTTAAAACACTAAGTGCTTAGTGATACACCCAATTTCTGTGACGCTCATTAAATCGGTTAAAAGTTACTCATATGTGGTAGGTCATGTTAGATTATGTAAGAGATAGAGGAAGAAAAAGATTATAGCCAAATATCTTCGCTGGTTTTGAATTGTACTGTGAATAAATATATGCATATATATATTATTATTTTCAACACGTAGATGGTAATATAAAATAATACCTACTCATTAGTAATCATTATTATTTCATTATTATCATTGTTTCAAATTTTAATTTTTAATATTTAAACATACGAGTATGTACCTACCTACTTTAAAGTTCCAATTATTTTTATGTTGTCATAAAAATCATAACTAAACAAAAGATTAAAGAAGTTAAAATAAATGCACTAATCGTTTTGAAGAAAGCAACTTATAATGTAGGTAATAAGTTTATTATCTTGACAAATAAAATATCTCACAGAAATATATACAAAAACGTTACGAGTATTCAAATTTCAAAATTGGCTTGATATAATAACTATTAAAAGGAAGTTCTCTTTATATGTAGTGTCGCAGCATAATAAATTTAATATCCGTAGAAGTAAAGAACCAAAACTGTGGCCTCTATAGGTTATTAAAGTTGATTGACCTCATATAAAATTTAAAGATGTGAACATTATCTGTGGTTACTGGTTTCTAGTAATTTATTGTGTGTCGAGGTATAAACATTTTAAATAAATAATTCCATCAAATTTTATTTAGCACTAACAGTATCAAAATGTCATTAATATATGTATTAATATACATGCATATCGTATATGCATATGTTGCATTATCGTCACCATTTAAAGGTTAAATATTAATGAGATCTAAATAACAAAAATGATTTTCAAATTTTTATTTTATTTGATTAAAATAATAATATAATCATATGGTAAATAAATATATTACAATCGTAAATTATATGATTTAAAATTGTATGATAATTTTAGTAAGTACCGGACGCTGCCAAGTTGAAGTTGTTGTTTTCAACTGGCTGGCATTAAACTGTTCGATTAGTCAACGGCCATAATAATAACAAGAACAACATGATGCACAAAGACGACTCGAAAACCGTCGCGCACGAAGAGACTGCAGCCGAGACAAAGTGCGAGCCGCTATCGTCACCTGCAGCGCCGGACGAGAATCCCGAGGCGTGGGAAACCATGAGCRTCGTCTCGAAATTCAAGTTCATCATTGATCACTGTACGATCGAGCCCATGTTCGGGTGTTACATCATGACCAGCGTTCTGACGGGGCTGTGCACGCAGAACTTAAACCTGCAGAAGGCGTGCCGAGTGAACCTGAAGTTGTCCAACAGCACTTGTTCGGCGCTGGACAATCGGAACTCGGACGACTTCGCCAAAGAGGAGGTCATGGTCCAGGAGCTGGTGACCGACATGATCATATGGAAAACGATCGTACAGAGCAGCATACCGATGGTGTTGATAATTTTCATCGGATCATGGAGCGACCGGAACCACAAGCGCAAGCCGTGCATGTTAATACCCATCGTGGGCGAGCTACTAACTAGCGTGGGGCTACTTGTCTGTACTTATTATTTTTACGAGCTTCCCGTGGAAGTGGTCGGATTGGTGGAATGCTTACCTCCAGCCATGACCGGCGGATGGATGACAATGGTCATGGCCATATTCAGCTATATAGGTGACGTATCTTCGGTAAGTTTAAAAATAAATAGCCGACAGTGTGACTAATATAGGTAGTCAATTAGATACGTTAATTATTTACCTAATTTAAATAGTATTGTCTACTTTCTGAATGAACCAGGTAATTCAATGTAAGTGTTCTTTTTTAAATTATTATACTACGCAGTTGGAATATCTTTGCATTGGAAAATATTTTCATTCAATGAAAGTAAATATAATTTAAACTTATATTATATAACAATAAAAGTTTTAGCATACGTCAATAATTATGTCATAATCGTGAAAAAATTTGTATCTCACGCCGTAAAAAATCATAATAAATACGTTTTCGATTAGCCAAATTTGAGATTTCTCCCAACTACCCCAACTACAGTATATTTTCAACTTTCATTGGGTTTTCAGGTAAAATACCGCACACTCAGAATTGGAATAGCGAACGTTTTCTACTCCGTAGCCGTTCCTATTGGTACCGCGTTGTCTGGTGTATTGTTTCGAGGACTAGGATTTTAYGGCGTGTACACCATAGCCATAGTGATGTATGCATTTACGATTTCATAYGGCTGGATATTTATCAAAGAACCAAAACCAGAGACTTATTTAAAAAGCAATGAACCAACCAAGTCGACATCTTGTTTTTATTTTATCGAGGATTTTTTCAGTCTGAGTAACATTAAGGAGGCCATTCGAGTGACGTTYAAGGAAGGACAACACAACAGAAAATTAAGAATTATTTCTTTGTTAGTTGTCGTCATTGTCGTGATGGGTCCTTTGTATGGTTCGTAAATTAAAATATTAATATTATCATTAATTTTATCAAAATTTTTTTTAAATTTTTACAATATTACATAATATATTATTATTATATATTATATATTTAATTTAAATTAAACATATAATAAATATAATACCCATCTCCTATCAATGAAGTCTTTTGCGTACTAACTTTATTCTCGCAACACCTTGAACTTGATAAACTATTTATTAATTCCCCTTCAATTATAGATGTTTGAATACTTTAAATCTTCTTAAAAGRTTCTCCCTTAGAGTACACTACCCGCAGGCCGCAACAAGCTCCTTTTCGTTATCCCCCTTTCACGCCATCTCGTACGGCCATAACCAACCTCTTCACCGCATRCTCTTAACATATATTTACTAATACCCGTATTTTAAGAGGACTTTGTACCTGTATGTGTTGTCTCCGTCTTAAATACGTATGGCATAGTATATTTTCGTTCATAGTTTCATTAGTGTAGCTGTTAGAGTGAATTTACTTATAAAACGTATACAGTTTCAAAATAATTATAACTTACTTAAAAATAATAATATCAATAAAAGCCTACATAGAGCTCGAGATAATAATCTCAACTTGTCATTTTATAATAGGAAAATTCACTCTAATATTAAAACCAATAACACACTATTGAAACTATTTGAAACTAGTGAACGAAAATTTTCTATGTCGTACGTGTGTAGGTTGWAGACAACATACGAGTAATATGCTGGTGCAACGTCTTCTCAAAATGTACATTATATTTGTACTTTGAACTTTTGAATYAATAATTCTATTAACTTAATTTGTTTTCTACCTCTTTGTAATAGGCGTTTGGCGTTTATAATTTAAATAAAATAAAATAAATATTAGTCTCTTCTATTCTCTTAGACTTTTTTTCAATGAACTCATTAAATAAATACWCTCTATGCRTGTTATTTTAGCAAATGAACAAAGAATATATTGTTGAAAAAAGGGTRCWCGTRTCGTATGCTATCTACCAACAAATTGTCAGTATCGTATGCTATCTACCGTTATCTACGTTATCTATCGAAATCCGTATTGAAAGTATCGATATTGTGTTTCTATATATTATATTATATATTTATAATTCTTTTAGGAATTTAAAAGTTTTGTATTTTAGTATTTTAGAATTTAGTATGTGTTCGTTGATCGCCAAGATCAAACGTCGTAGTTGTGTGTTTTTCATTAATTGTAAATTTATGGTTTTATAAAATAAGTAGGTACTTTAGGTGAATTACATAGAAATATTATTTTTAATGACGAGAAAATTGTATACAAATTTTAAAAGATCATGATTTATTACCTAATACAAAATTGTGTACAAAGTTAAATTCTATTGGAGAACAATTTAATGGTGAAATGAAAGAAACTTAAAAAAAAAAAAAACAGAAAACGTGATGTAAACAGAGATATTATTACGACAAAATATTTACGATATAAAAATGGGTTATCAAACATGGCAATCCATACGTAAAGAAAAACCATTTTTTACTTACACCAACAAAAATTGTTAAATTAATAGTGACTATAGTGGATTAAGCTTATGCGAAATATTAGAACTTGTTTGGTGCTGGGCGAATCAATTTAAAAATATACAAATAGAATAAAATTACTGGTAAAGGGCATCACTTTGTCTCAGATTGGTATAATTTGTGTCTAGACGTTGTTGTCGAACAGTTTAAACATCGAGGAAAAATGGCAGGTAAAAGATACATCGTACAGATTGACGATTCTCTTTTCCAAGGCAAATGAAAGTACAATAGAGGTAGATTACGGCTTGGTGATCATACCCCAATGGAGAAAACTTCATAATGAGGAACTCCRAAGACTCTTTCAGAGATCGAATATAGTGAGAGAGATTGCCAAACGAAAACTGCGTTTGGCAGGCCATGATTGGCGCAAACAGGGTACCTTAGTCAAACGGATGATCAAAGAAGACCMTGTAGGAAAAAGATCGTTTGGTAGACCTAAGCTCAGATGGAAAGATGGTGTGAAAAGAGAAGTTGAAAGGATAGTGTCCGGTACCAATTGGAGAGAAGTAGCGGAGGACAGGGATGGTGGCAAAGTTTATCGTTGTCAGTATGGTCTTAAAGGTTAACACTAAAAAAGGAGAAGAAGAAGATCATAGACCTAATTATAATGCAAATTCCTATTCTAATTCAAGTTCTTGTTCTGATTTTAAACACGAATCTGACGAAGAAAATTAAAATATTGAAAACCAAAACAGAAATGGCGTTCAAGGACCTTGGGTGTTTGGTATGTGTTGTTTGCGTCAAGATAATATTTTGGAGCGCTGTTGTTTTATAGTTGATAAATGAGGTGGTGAAACACTATTTTCCATAATTTTCCAAGAAGTAAAACCGGAAACCACAATTTATCCAGATGAATGGATAGCTTACAGCATTCTTAAAGAACATGGTTTTCTTCACCAAACAGTTAACCACAGCAAAAACTTTATATATCCACGTTCAGATGTTCAAACACAGACTATTGAATGCTTATGAAACCACATGCAAGTTAAGTATCGAATCAGAGCTCGTGGAACTACCAATGTTCTAGAAAGACAATTACAAGAAAAATGGCGGAGAAAAGTCAATAAAAAAATGTACCCGAATGTTTTTTACAAGGCATAAAAAACATTTTTGTAAAAATATGAACAACTATGAACCAACAGGTATTGTGCAGGTTAGTAACTTAAGTTTGTAGATTTTTATATATAATTGTTTTGGTAGATAGTATACGACACGAACGCGTAGATTTTTGTAAATATGATTTTATTGGTAGATAGCTGCATACAACACGTGTGCCTATCATGTACCTATCATACTATCTAATATCTATATAATTTATTTATTTTAACGGGTTCGTGTTTGTTACGTTTATGCTTTGATGTGTCATAAGGAATTTGTMTATCTAACTTCATTTTGTAAAACAATACTTATTACACAATTTCACAAAACTCATCATTGTAGCTATTAGTTATTAATTATTATTTTACCATTTCATATTCATAATATTGTTCAGATATTTGATTATTTCATAATCAAATTGCATATAATCACGAGATGTTGTGATTTTTATACAGTATGTACCTACTATTTACACCTATAGCTCAATTTAATAATTTTTTTGATTTTTAGGGGAAATGTCAATGATGTACATGTTTACACGACTAAAATTCAATTGGAATGAAATCGACTTCAGTTTGTTTTCCACGTACGCTATGGTTACCAATCTTATAGGTTTGCACTGTTATAAAAAAATACTAGTTTTGTAATTTATTAAAGTATCAGATAATCAAAACTTTTAAAAAGTAATTTAAATAGTTAGGTACTATTTATTTTATAAAATAATATCAATATTATGTTAATAATTAAGTACAATGGGGTTAAAGGTACGGATTTTTTTTTATTCGTTTATTAATTTTAAATATAAATAAAGATTTTTATGAGAATTTTAACAGCTAAGTTGTAATTATTTACAAAATCGAAGATATTTAAAATTTTTAATTTTTAAATAGCTATTAAGGTGAACACATATTATTTTAAAAAGTTGTATTCTTTAAATAATTATGTATGCCTTGAATCATATAACTAATGTTGGATACATTTTAAAATCATGAYTTGCTCAAAATGAATACCATTTATACTATTAGTTTTTTCTTTTTAGTTTAAAGCTAAACTATCAACACTAAATATTCTCTCTCCATAGATGCATTATTAGGTTTAACTGTATAAGATAAAATGTACCCAAGTACAGTGAAATACTTCTAAATGTTTCTAGTATTCGAATACCAATACTCAAAATAAACCTACGTAGTATTACTGAGATATTTAATAACACTATAGGTTTGTCATAATTTACTAACTAATTGCTTTTGTGATAATAATTGTATAATTTAAACTATATCTTTATTTTTATCATTTAGGTACGATGTTTTCAGTTGGTGTGTTCAGTCACAAGTTAGGAATCGACGATGCCTTAATTGGAGTAATGTCGTGTATGAGCAAAATATTAGCAGGATTTGTTTATGCGTTTGCCCCTACAGCTTTCATTTTTTACTTAGGTGAGTTAAATTATAATACCTACTTAAAATTCAGTATCTAAATTTGACGTGTTTATTATATTTTTTTCTGAAATTATAKAATATTGTCTATGAATAATGTACAATACTATAGAATGATAAMTTTTAATTGATAAAATTCACTTTAATCTAATAATATGTAATATTTAAAAAGTTTTTTTCATTTATATAAATGTTAAAATTAAATAGTTATGAGTCACAAAAGAACAAAGGTATTTTATTTGTAATTTAATTATTTGTTCTAATCGTAAAAGTTGTAAAAATGCAATAAGATAAAACACTACCTATCATGCTAATGTATTTTTACAGCACCACTTGTGGAAATCATAAACGGTACATCATTTATTGCTATGAGGTCAATTATTTCCAAACTCGTACCATCAGATGAATTAGGTATGGATTGTTTAAAATCACAAATTATCATGTTAATTGTGCTGAAAATATTTCAGGCAAAGTGAATTCAATATTTGGCGTTTGTGAAGCTTTGGTACCATTGATTTATGGACCGATGTACAGTTATGTGTATAAGCACACATTAAAGACATTTCCTGGAGCGTTTTTTCTATTTGGTGGCTTTTTAACAGCTCCAGCAGCGATTATATTCCTGTAAGTTTATAGTGAACCATAGATTATATTATCATGCATAATGTGATAAATTAAAAATATTGTAATATAAATTAATCTATTCGCCTGTTGTATTAAATTTTAATAGATGGATGTACAACGAACATCTCAAGGAACGGAGAGTAAAAGAGTCAACAGTCAAAAGCGGAGAAGAAAATTCGGAAGAAACACAAAAAGAGAATAGTATGGACATAAGATTATCCTCACAAAACAATGATTAGATATTCTCGTTAGCAGACATATTATGCAACCTCTTAGGATTTCGAGGCTATTTTGAAGTTGAATATTGGACAATAAAGTACCTATTTTATATATATTACATGGATTGAGCGATGCAAATAAACAAAATGTTCAATATTATTATTTTTCGATAAGGTTTTTTTTATATTATCCTATTTATAGAATTTTTTTTAAAGACATAAATGTTTTGCATCAATTTTATTTAAGTTAAAGCGTTTGTAAAAACTAATTTCTGAACAGTGTAAGAAAAAKTAATTTACATTATGATACATTCGTATACCATAAAAAATGTTCAAATTTGATTTCCTACCAATTATAAAATCAACGAAAATGATATATAAACATTATATAGATATAGCAGTTAGTGATCAAGAATAATTTATACCTGAAGTATTCAAACTGTGCGTCGCGAGAGTTTGCAAAGCGAGCAGCATGAAAGCACCGGAAACTAATATCATGGTCTTGTATAATTATTATAAATATTATTTGCAATCATTATGGAAATGAAAATTACACACCTTACGACGTGACTAATTGAAGTTTTATTTCCAATACTAAAGTCACAGTTATTATCACCCATATAAAATATTGGCCATATTGTATCCATGTATTGTTTCAATTTCTTCATAATAATTTGGGAGCCGTCCAAATAATATGAACATCTAAAGGAGCCGCGGGTCGAAAAAGTTTGAGTACCTCTAATTTAAACGAAACGTAGATTTTGATTTGTAGTTCAATAACATATATTGATGAGCAGGTGGATTATCATGGAATGAAGAGTGAATAAAAAAAAAAAATTAAAGGAACTCAAATTATTTAGCACTTTTTAATCTTTTGTAAATATCTTATACAATTGTTGAAAAAAATTCCCTGGCCTTAAATTCTAGTTCTAATTCTTAATTATAATAATAATTTTTTTTATAAATTTATTGATTAATTGACATTCGTGAGATTCAAGCTTTAAGTACTTAATAAGTCTATATTAGATGATACTCATGCATTCATGACGACAAATATATAATCTATAGGGATTTTTATCATTTAAGTTATGCAGTTGAATATTAAAAATTTAATATTCATTAAGCAAATAGTATTCTGTTACACCTAAGTTATCTTTATCTGTAAAATTGGACTATTATTTATATGAATTTTGAAATTGGGGAATAGTGGAACGATAGTAATCAAACTTTTCACATAGGTATATCATATTCAATTTATTTCACTATGTTGGGGTTTTTTCATTGTTGAACGTTGAACGACATAGTTCTAAGTTAAATATCTATTATTTAATATCTATCACACAGATATTTAAGACTTATTGGCACTTTCGTTCGATACGACTTTTTTTTTCTTATTCCATTTTGGTGCATATCTTACACTGCGTTACATGGTAACGGTAAACAATTTTTTTGTCTTGTTAGAATTAATATTGAATACAATTTAAATATTAATAACTTAATAGTTAAATATTTACTTTATATATTATATGTATAATTAGATATTGTAAGCATTGATGACAACTATGTATTCCAAGTATATTACTTATGGATCATATATTGAATCCAAACTATTTTGAATGTAATTTCAATAATGAGACATAATATAAGAATATAACAGATATTAATGTGCCCTCAAACTGCTAATAAGATKCATTAACACTTAAGTTCAAATTAACTACAGGAAAATATAAAAAGTTATTTTGTGAGAGTCATGTAGGTATGCCTATATACCTACATGATTATATTATACACAATTTTTCGGTGCACATTGAATATTATGTTTTATTTATATTTTTCACCTCAATAGTCAATAAATTAGTCTCAATAAAAAGAAATTYAGTAATACTTTTAAACCTAGAAAATTCTAAAGAGGTCTTTACTATTTTACTGCGGTGCAATATAAGAKTACACGTTTATCATGGTTGGGGTACGGACGTACGGTAAATAAGTCGAATATTTAATTCAGTAATAACGAACTGCGGGGTTGGAAATTGTAAAGGTAATGACTTTATACAATGTTTTTAAGGTTTCTTTGAACTGTTATACAAAAATCGGATCAAGTGAATACTATTTAGGTAGATATCGTTAATAATATGAATAATAAATTAATATTAATCAATTWTTTTTTTTGATAACCAATAATAAGACCTAGATATAAAATGACATTTTAGATATATTTTAAAAAAAATGTATAAGTGCAGTATTTATGTACAACAGCAGGTGCCGATGTTTCTATTTTTATTGCTTTATTCATTTTACAGCTTATATTTACACAATAAATAATACATTACACTAGTATTATAATGGGTACATTATATTAACAAACACAGTGGATAGGGCGTATATTGATGTTTATCGTATGACGTATATGTATCTCTATTACTTCCTGGATTTACAAATTGGGACAGAATTGAAGAAGACAAAATATGTGAATTGTTTTTTCAAAAATAATAATCAATTTAAATATCAATATGAATTTTGATATTTTACTATGAATATGATATATATATATATAATAGGTATATATATATAATATATACCAGACGCGCTGTCAAACACGATGTGGTTACTGCGCTAAAAATAATAGTATTTGAAATGATAATAGAGCCTGTACATTTGGTAATTATATAAATAATAATATGTTTTGGTCTTTATTAAATTAATATGTAGTGTTTATATGTTTTGTGACACTATTTCATTAGAAAATGACACATAAATATATAAACAAAATCCTATCATTAACCCATCAATTTTATTCATTTCGACGGAATCGAGTACGATATTACATGGGGGTTAGGTGGCTACTAGTTGTGTCCCGCGGTAAAAATTTCTTCCGAATTGCGGCCCGAGTTTTTTGGGGATGCATACGAATCGCGGCCCGAGTTTTTTTGAGTTACATATGAATTGCATCCCGCAATTTAAAATTAAATTAATTAAATGTATGTAATTATATTTTATTATGTTATAATATGCAT